TGCTGGAGTGCTGTGAAAGGGTAGATATTAAAAACAAATTATACTTGTCAAGTAAAGGAGCAAAAGATGCTGATTGATGCATTACCCAGCTTTCTGCTAAGGGAATTATGGATGTGTACAGAACAGATTAATTTGTTGAACTGTTGAATTTAGGGTTTGGGGTTTGTTTCCCAACGTGCTTCTTGATCATTAGTAATTAAATTGCTCGGATTGTACGGTATATGCATTTTAAAAGCATCAAATGGAACTAAGTGTATCTTTGTTTAAAAGCTTATAAACATGATTGCCACAGGAAAAGTGACTGTGCTAGGATGTTCTGCGTGTGTGTGTCTCCGTTACAGCTTTACAAAGGTATTGGTCGGTTCTAAGCTATGTGTGAAAGAGGCGAGTGATAATGTTTATATTAGACATCAGAGAATCCACTTAAAAGCTGGCTCTATGGGGAATTATAGTTTAGTTCTGCTCTTTCGATAGTGACTTACAGACACTGGTCTATCCCTGACCCAGCATATGCTTCTGGAAATGATGCCACAAAGGCCATAGCAGGTACAGATGGTACTGTCAGACTTGGCTCTGCCTCTTCAACACCCTCTTCTCACCTGGGGGTGAGGTTCTCCTCTGCTGCACACCTTTGCCAACCAGTTCCACAAGGCACATTAGCTCCTGACCGCAGGCAGAACACACTGGTAGTGATCAGAACCCTCTTGGTGTGGCTGGAAATCAGGTGTCAGGGCCAGTCCTGTGACTGATGGGGTCAGCATAGCCTAGACCAACCTGGAAGGTGAAATAGTTGAGGTGGGGTCACAGAGCATCAGTCTCTGGGGGTGTTCTGCTGCTGGAGCCTCTGAATTGCCGTTCAGCAGCTCAAGTGCCTCATCTGAATTCAAGGGGACTGATGGTGCTTATCTGCATTTCATGCAAATCAGCCCAAATGCTGGTTTCTGGCTGCTTTCCAGTTCAGATTCAAAGCCTCTCTCCCTCTCTCACCCTCACACCAGCCCGCTGGTGGGCTTGAAGATCTCTTCAATGCACCCGTGGCTTTGGCACGCACAGGAACTGCCTGAACTTCAGATCAGGGAGCAAGACGTGAAAGACAAATGAGCTGAACTGCACTGCTGTGCCCTGGGCAAGACCCATCTCCTCTGAAGGACCAGAGGCTTTTGTTCCTGGGGCCAGCTGGGCCTGGATGAGCAGCTAAATCCTCGGCCCTGAGTCTCAACAGCTCTTCTGCCTTGTTTTGCAGTGAGACACCATGAGTGTGCCCTCCCAGGGCTTGGTCTGTGTGCAAGGTGATGGTGCAAAGAGAGCAGCAAAAGCATTGGCTTGAGAAGCAGGGGATAGGGAGAGATGCGCTGCTCTAAAATCACCCAGCAAATCACCTGCTGCTCTGTGCCTCAGTGTTCCCAGGTTTGGGCTGTTTAAGCTCTTTGTTGAGTCTCTCTCCTCCCATGTTTGTGCGGTGCCAAGTACAGAAAGTGCCTGGTTTTGCTTGAAGTTCTGAAATGTTTCCATAATGCAGACAGCAGCTCTTGTGTGCCAGGGTTTTAATTGCCAGGATCCCTGAGGTTTCCCTGCATAGCCCTTGCAGAAGCCAGCACATGGGGCTGACCTCTCCCCACTTGCTTGTTCTGCCTGGCAGGCTCTTCTCAGTTATTTTCTCCCCATGTTTTGTACTCCCATCCTGTGTAGCATTTCCAGTCACCTTCCCGCAGCCTGAATGCCTCCTAATCTGAAGTGTGTTTCAGCCTTATCTCTGTCAAAGCAGAAGGGGAGGGGAGCCATCCTCATTCCCAGCTGCTCTTCAGCAGCCTGATCCATAGGGAGCTGAAGCCATCAGCTGCTCATCTCTGCTTTCACTGGAGGCTGAGTGACTTGCAGGTGATGCTTCTCTCAAGAGCACTGAGGACAAAATGGGGCTTTCTGTCTTTTCAGGGCTGCACATAAATCTCTTCTCAATGTGCTCAGTAATGATGGTGTGTTGTGTTTCATTGCGGGCTGTCACCGAGTTTACTCAGTTCCCTTGCAAAGAGTCCTGCTGCAGTTTGTTAGTGCTTGTGTGTGACCATGGGAGGAGGATCCAGAGGGTCACATCAAGAGCCCTCGTGCTGGAAGTGCTTTGCTCAAGCAATTGGGTTGGCCTCCGTTTGCACCAGTGTAAACTGGGATTGGGATTCACTCTGGTACCGTGGGGCTTTGAAATGATGTAGGAAGGAGCAGCAGCGCAGTTGCTGCTGATGTTGAGCAAACCAGTTGTGTTGGCTGAGGGATGAGGAGGGACCGAAGAGAATAAGAAAACTGGGTGGGCTCTTTGCATCTTTCTGGCCAGCCTGAGAGCATTAGGAAGTTCCCTGCTCCTCATCCCAGCACTCCCAACTACAGCAGATGCCTATAACCTCGTGCTGCCAGGGATGCACACCGTCCATTCAGCAAGTGATAGGAAAAGCATGCAGGAAGGCAGTAAGTACCAGGGAAATCCATGCTAGGCACTCAGCACAGACTGTCCAGGACCTGCTCTGGTGGAAGGTGTCCCTGCCCATGACAAGGGGTTGGGACTGGATGAGCTTTAAGGTCCTTTCCAACCCAAACCGGTCTGTGGTTCTGATTCAGTGTTGTTACCCTGGACACAGCCTGGATGCTGTGTGCTGGTGGATAAGGTCCATGCCTGGCACTAGCAACCTACAGAAGAGCCATTTCTACTGCAGAGCAGAGCAAGACTTTTTGTCCTTATTTTCCATCCTCAGGTTTCCAGTTTTTACCCAAATCCCGAGTTGTGTTTGCTGTCACCTGGACCATTTGCTGCAGTTTCAGTATTGATCTGACTCAGAGTTACAGAAAGCCGTCGCAAACAAAACCCCACTGTCAGGCTGACAGCAAGAGCTCACTCCTCTCACGCAGCAATGAAAAAGAGGTGACAGAGAGCTGAGTGCACTGAACATGCACCCATAAATACACACATAACTGTGTAATTACTAGTATCAGTGAAATGATAGGTATAAAGACCTAGTTAGCAGTGGAGCAGGATCATTAGCATAAAAACTACAAGCACAAAAATGCCTTGAAATGACAAATACAAGGAAGCCATATGAGATTTGCATTAAATTAGTGACTGCGTGTGAGATGCTGTTTAAATGGCAGGTGACTAGAAAATTTCTTCCCCTTTTAGTGGAAGAGGCTGAAATGTTCATTTTCATGGTAAACAGTAACTGCACATTGATTTCTGGCTTTAAAGCATCTCTGCAAATAGCACTCGCAGTGAGTGGGGTGGGAGTCACAGAAATCAGAGGACTGCTTTGCCCTGCGTGTCTCAAACTTAGCAGCACAGCTTGAGTTTCTTTCATGCACTTGTTAAGAAGCCTGCAGTGACAACAAGGAAGCCAACCCCCCTGTGTCTGGGGGTGGGAAATCAATTCACATACAATGATTTGGGAAAGGGATCTGATGGATTATTTCAAAGCAGAAACACGTGTGAGAGGGAGCGTCGGGAGCTTGCAGTGAGCTGAAGGTGCCTGCTGCCTGCTCCCTGTCACCTGGGAGTTAGAATGTCCATAGAGCAGAGGAATGGGACTGTATCTAACAACTGGTGGATCAGGATTGCTCCTACAGCTTGCAGGTCCTGGTTTGGATAGGCAAGCAAGTAAGATTCTAGGCTTGGATTAGTGTGGAAGGGGTCCCATCTGTAGCCTGACTATAGAGGAGAGCGCACAGCCTGCTGGGGCTCTCAGGGCTCCCAAAACTCAGCACAAGTCTGGCACAAATAGGGATTCCCAAGGCTGTCAGGCTCTCACTTTTGCAGATGCTGTTAGGGAAACCCTATAGCCCTTCTTGTTGCAGCACCTGGGGAGCCCCAAGACCTTCTCTGCGCTGTGAAGGTGTTGACTGCACAATGAAGAACATGTTTCTGATAGGAAAAAGCCTTGTGAAAGCACATCTTGAAAAGCCTTCTTTTTTTCCTGGTATCAGGACAATGTCTGGGGTCCCAATGAAGGATCTGGGATGCAGGTTGGAGTGTGAGGTGGTGGCTGCCTCCAGGACAGGGAAAGGAGGGAGTTTCTCTGTATGTTTAGCCCTGTCCCTCAGCAACACTGATAACAACAGAGTGGTTTGGGTTGGAAGGGACTTTAAAGCTCATCCAGTTCCACCCCCCTGCCATGGGAAGGGACACCTTCCACTAGAGCAGGTTGCTCGAATCTCCATCCAACCTGTCCTTATGCCTGAGAACACATGGGAGCTGTGGGTTAATCCATCAGTCAGAAGTTGATTTGCACACAGTTAATGTTACAGGCCAAAACTCACCGTGAGTGCAGGTAAATCAGTGTAACCACCCAAATCCCAGTTAGGTTTATCCCAGGCATACACTGACAGATCAGCACACACACAGGGCTTGCACCCATCAGGCTGCACTGCTATAATTAACTATCACAACTTCCTGGCATAGCAAGGCTTTAAGTGAGAGCTTTTGACAAGGTTATGCTTTGACTGAATGAAGTCTTACCCTAACACATCACTAAATGGTGCTATTTTGGGCATGAGAAATGTCACTTCTTTCCCTGGATAGGCCCATCTGAAACTGGTCACCAGGCAGTGACACTTTAGGAGAAAGCCTTTGTTCTCCCTGGGTTTAGCTGGTGGTTGCTGTTTGATAAGTTGCTTGGGTTCAGTTTGACCATGTAATTTGCAGAGAATTGTTTGAGTGGCTTCATGTATTGTGAATCAAAAGCCGAAATGCTTCTCTTGGTAATTAAGATGGAATGGGTAATGGTTTTTCTCTGTCTGTAAGTTCCCTTTCTGAAGAAGGAAGGATTAAACTGAGCTTTCCAATGCCTCTGTTCGTTTTGTCATGGACACAGTCCTCATTTGTACCCACAAAGGTTTGCACATCCTTGTTTGTGTCTTGAGTTCCCTTTGAAAACTGAGCCCACCGATGAGAGGAGGGAAACAGGAGCTGGTGCTGAGCAGAAAACAAGCACCAGCTCTGCCCTATCTTTCTTTTCCAGCTTTCCCCAAGTACTTGACAGGTTTATGATCAACCAGAAGCAGCGCTGAGGGGCAGAGAGCTGTTTAAAACAGTTAGAAACGTGTGACTTCAGTCATTTTTGCCTTACTTAAGTCACTTGCCTGCTGATCAGAGGGTACAAATGGGAAGCCCGAACTACCCGCACCAAGCAACTCTTCCAGCTGGTTCTTCTCGACGTGTCGGCAGCACGGTTGACCACACTGGTGTCTCTGTTTGCTCATTCTCTGTAACCTCAGCCTGCCAAAGCCTGCATCTGTTTGGGGCTGCTGTCAATCAGATGTCGAATTTGATTTTGCTTGGCTCAAATCAAAGCTGGTGTTTTGACAAAAGGTGTGTGTGGGGGGAGAGTAGCTGTCAAAGCACTGCGGGCGAGAGAGATAAGCAGAGACCTGGGAGGTGGGGGAGAAATGGGGGATTTATTATCCATGAAGATGATGGAATACTGTGGGCAAAGAGCAGGGATGTGCTGGGAGGTTTGGGGTGGCTTGGTCATGCCATGTTAGGAGGCACAGAAGGAGGTGGTGGGGTAGAGGTCTAAGCAGGAGGGCAAGGAAGATCCCCCAGTTGGGCTTGTTCAGCCTGGAGAAGAGAAGGCTCCTTAAGGAGAGACCTTAGAGCAGCTCCAGTGCCTACAGGAAAGCTGGAGAGGGGCTTTGGGCAAGGGCCTGTAGGGACAGGCCAAGGGGAATGGCTTGAACCTGCCCGAGGGGAGACTGAGCTGAGCTCTTAGGCAGAAGCTCTTCCCTGTGAGGGTGCTGAGGCGCTGGCACAGGGTGCCCAGAGAAGCTGTGGCTGCCCCATCCCTGGCAGTGTTGGACACAGGGGCTTGGAGCAAGCTGCTCCAGTGGAAGGGGTCCCTTGGTGTGGCATTGGACTCAGGTGATATTTCTCCTAATAGGGATTTTTAAACCCACATAGGAATTATTTTGCCCACTCTTGAGACTTCCCATCTTCTCATTCATTTTATTCAGTTCTGAGATGGGATTTTCTTTTCCCCATATTTTCAGTAAAATTCCAAGGAGATGCAATAGCTTTGGGGTTTAATAACTGAATCATCCCTCTCCTGTTGAACTTCTCACAACTGAATATCATTTTAATACTAACGGGATGGGGGGGAGCTGATACAAAAATCAATTCAAATGGAAAATCAAAACAGTTCCAGTCTGTAGGGGTATTTTTCAGCTAAAGAATGATTGAAGTCAATGTGTGCCCGAGCCGCATCTCACTCATCATAAAATGGCATTTTCTGACAGAAGGAGGAGCCACAAATGATAGCGAGCATGGACCGGTGATTATTCTCTTCTCCCATAACCCATAATCAGGCAGAGGAGCGAGTCTTCTGCTCAATATCTTCACAAACACATCAGATGCAATTAGAAGGCTGTAGCTGTCTCCTGAAAATAGGGGCAATGAACCAAAGCAATTGAACAAAACTAGGTGCCAGCAAAAGCGACGAGACTACACGGTTTTTTGGTTCAGTGGCCAAACGGGGGAAAAAATACATTTTTGAGTTAACCTGAATTGAAAATGTTTCAATTTTTCCAGTGAAGCAAAAAGTTGGAGAAATTAAGAGCAGATTGCTTTGTCTTTTAAGCTTTTCTTTTGTATTTTCTGTTCCATTTCTTTCTCAACTGCTTTTAAGGGAAATTTCAAAGTCTTGTTTGATCCATCCCAGCCTATGGGTTTTATAGTGGAAAAACACAGAAGTTTTGCCCCAAAATACTTTGTCTGTTGCCAAGTGGTGGGAGGAAAATGAGGTTGGCCCTTCCAGAGGTGTGAATTATGAGCTGGGTTTTGAAGTAAGGTTGAATCATTTCAGCTGAGAACCGGTCCTTTTGTCCTCGATGGGACATTATTCACCGGTGATGCTGTTTGCGGGGTGTCCTTGTGGACAATTGGTTTGAGGACGGGACTCTTCATTCTGCTTCTTGGAGTTCTCAATGGCAACGACTCACAATGGAAATAAACCAGAGCAGACACCAGGGAATTCTTTAAGGCTCCTTTGTTTGGGGTTTCTTTTTTCCCTGCAGAAGCAGCAGATTTAGTTACACTGCATATTGGATCCATATTGATGCTACTGAATCTTCCTCTTTAAAAGACAAGAAGATATTACAGCATTTAGAGAGCCCCGGTTCAGCGTTGGCAGAGCTCTGCTTCAAGTTCCCTTTCAGGAACTGTTTTACATTTACCTAACCTGTCCTCAAAAGGCTGGAGCACAAAAGGAACCGGCTGACATTTAGAAGGATTTTAGCTTGCTGCGTTGCACTGGTTCGTGTTTGTTTTGTTTTCTGAGCGGTTTCCTCTGTATCTACTGAGCATTTAACTGGGAAATGGAAGGGGGAGAAAATGCAGCGTTTTGGTATCTCACAAATTAGATGTGTGAAACAAATCACTGCTTCCTCGCCAGCCATTAGTGAGCAGGACTGCATAAAGAGACAGAGAAAACCTCTGAGTCCCTTTACTGCTCACAACGTGTTCCTGTGCTGTGCTTCAGAGAAGCAGAGAGGTGCCAATCACCAGCATTTGTCATAGCAGCTAAAGAGGAAGATGTCAGAACCTAAAGGGTGGGTGAATTTCATGTGCCTTGGGACCTGTCCTCTGTCTGCTGTCATCTGATGTGTTCTGTAATGAAAGCCAGCCACGTCCTGGGCTGTGTCAAAAGGAGCGTGAGCAGCAGGTCAGAGGACCTGATCCTGCCCCTCTTGCTCTGCTCTCTTCAGACCCCACTGGCAGCACTGTGTGCAGTTCTGGTGTCCTCAGCATCAGGACATGGAGCTGTTGGAGCAAGGCCAGAGGAGGCTGCAGGGGCTGGAGCAGCTCCTGTATGGAGCCAGGCTGAGAACACTGGGGCTGTTGAGCCTGGAGAAGAGAAGCTGTGTGGAGACCTCAGAGCAGCTTCCAGTGTCTGAAGGGGGCTCCAAGGATGCTGGAGAGGGGCTCTTCATCAGGGACCGTAGGGACAGGACAAAGGGTGATGGGTTCAGACTGAAACAGGGGAAGTTCAGGTTGCAGATAAGGAAGCAATTCTTCCCTGTGAGGGTGCTGAGGCGCTGGCACAGGGTGCCCAGAGAAGCTGTGGCTGCCCCATCCCTGGCAGTGCTCAAGGCCAGGTTGGACACAGGGGCTTGGAGCAAGCTGCTCCAGTGGAAGGGGTCCCTGCCTGTAGCAGGGGTTGGAGCTGGAGGAACTTTAAGATCCCTTCCAAGCCAAACCATCCTGTGACATGGGTAGAAGAACAGAGATTAATCTTATGGAGGTTGTGAGCTATGTAATGATGGGAAGAGATGCAGAGCACAGGCTGTGTGCAAGGCAAATATAACAGATTGAAGAATCAAGCTGAAAAAACCTGGGATGCGATTGAATAAGGACAAGCCTCAAGCCTGCGCCCGGGAAAGGTAATCCAGAAGTGTGGGATGGAGAACAGCTGGCTTGTCAGATGTTGTGCAGGAAAGGATGGGGAATGTGTAGCTGATGTGAAGCCACACATGATTCAGCAATGCCAGGCACAGGGGAAGAAGCTGATGTATGAGGGAGCTTAAGTAACTATATCAGCCAAAAGGCACGTGGGTGAGCCTTCCACCAGTAAGGCCACATGTGCATGAGGTTTTTAATGCATTACTTGAAGAAAACTGTGGATCAGTGGGAAGGCATTCAGAGGACAATAGGGACTATCAGCAACCCTCAAAACACAGCGTAAAGGTAAAATGAATACATAGCAACTATTTAACTTGAAGACATGGCAAGGTAACAATCTTCAAATGTGAAAAAGGCAAAGAAAAAGGGGGAAATTTATTCATCATGATTTTAGTGAACAAGTGAAGAAGAAATGGGCTTAAATTGCAGCAGGAAGGATTTGGGTTAGGTGTTAGACTGTCTTTAAAGCTGGCGTTGTGAAGTGCTGGAGCTGATTGAACAGGCAAGGTGCAGAGCTGAAAGGCTTCAGGAGGGCACACAAGCGGCTGTCAGGAGTGGGTTAGGCAGCATGCTATGGCTTGAGGCAGAGGAAAGACCCACTGACCTCCTGAGATCCCCTCCTGCCCCTTTCCTTCCCTTGCAGTTGCAAGTGTCTGCTCTTTCCCAGCTCAGCAGGGCTCCTGGAGAAAGCACTGCTGTCAGAAAATGAGCTTTTCTCCCCTCTTTATCTCGTACAGTCTGTGCTATCAGCATTTCAAATGTGCTTTTACTCAGCAGTCAACACCTGAACCATCCGAGGCTTAACTATGGGTTCAAACCTAGTCATTTTGGTTTTCCAGATTGCCATCAATGCAGATGGCCATGTGTTGTAAACTGCCTAGGAGAGAGGCACAGGCTTTGTTTAACTCATGTGCTCTGATGCATGGTTCACGCTACACTTTATAGTTCAGGTTAAACACACAGAAATAGAGGTTACCCACTTCTAATCTGAGCAAAGAGCGGAGCTGCGCTTTACTACTGAACTACTCATCTCTTTGTGGACATGAAAAGGGGTTTTATTTGGCTTTTGAGGTTTATTTTACAGCTCTGTTTAACATACAGAGAGCTTCATTCATGGTTCCAGTTCATAGCTCAGGTACAAGCTATTGAAAAAGATATGGCCAAAGGGAATAGTCTGGAAGCTCTTCACAGCTTCAGAACTGCTCCCAGTCTAATATGGAAGGTCTGTGAAGCTTCAGGTTTGATGGGGCTTGCTCCTAAATGTTTGCCCCTAATGTAAAAACCTAAAGAATGGAGAGAGCTGTTCAGCAGATCCAGGATCCAGAGAAGATGTCAACGCTCTAGATCTTGGTTATTAAATCCTCACTTGTAAAGCAAGCAATGGGAATGTCTGATTTAAATGTAGGTATTGGAGCTGTCTGTTTTAATGTTGAGAACCATATAAATCACAGACTGCTTTGGGTTGGAAGGGACCTTAAAGCTCATCCAGTTCCATCACCTTCCACTACGGCAGGTTACTCTGAACCCCATCCAACCTGGTCAATAAATCTCATTCCACCAGCACTGGATGAATTCTGTAGAAATAATTGGGATTTAAGATTTGAGATTCATGGGAAGCTCTGATATTTCTCCCTTAATCTTTTTTTCTTGGCCATCAAAATAGCCTAAAATGATAGACATCTTATTATAAACACAATAAAAAGCTCAAACTACATTTCAAAAGTAATGAGAATTCGGAGCCTGTTCTTTTGAATCTGCTCACTCCACTCCTATTGAGCTATCTTGTTTTGATGAAGCCAGGCCCCTTTCTCATTGAGCCTTACCAGAAGGCTTCACATTTGAAATTCTTATGTGTTTCCAACACTAAAGGGATTCTAGAGAATCAAGAGTTTAAAAGGAAACGAAAACAAACCCAACAAGTTGTAATGAGCCGTTTCTTGTCTTCTCAAAGGACTTTGACATCTTTGAAACAAAAGGAGAAAATAGAAAGAAATGGTTTGGAAAGTCTGTGTATCAGAAATGTAACTGCAATGGATGTGCCCCTGTGAAATGGTTAGATCATGGCAAAACTGCATTCTGGTTCGAACTCAAGTGTCACATATCTTTAGACCAACACTAACACTGAGTGGTGAGAACAAACTGAGGGCTGACATTACTCTGGAGTAACAGGAGGATGATGCACCTTGTCTTTGCTTTTATGCAGGAGAGACCCAAGTGCAGGAGACAGCGTGGGCCAGCAGAAGTCAATGGCAGAGCAGAGAAGCAAGAATGGCAAGGTCAGTGGTACCAAACATCAAGGGCAAAACTCTTTGATCTCCATCATCTTATAAGCGTGGCGTGCTCAGGAGCATCCCGCTGCCACCAGCACTGCTGGATGGGTAGTGGGGAGCCCATTATCGCTCAGAAATCTCCTAGGAAGGCATTTTTGTCTGTGCATTGGAAGATTGAGCTAAATGCTGGGAGCTATTAGCAGACAATTAAAGCTAATGTTGCAGCCAGCAGAAAGAGCCCAGTTAGTCACTTTACTCAATTTAAATCCTTGACAATTTTCACAGTTCTAATCAAGGAATAAAACAGAAAATACATATAGATGTATGAATGTATATATCAGAGCATTAACTTTCATTGTCAAATCAAGGCCAAAATTGCTGAATGAGGTAAATATGAGGAAAAATGTAATAGACTATTAGCACAATATAGCTTGTGGCTTTCATTTCAAAGTGATAGTCACACAGTCCTCGCCCCCACACACTTTGGGATATTTAAGGGTACAAAATAGTAATGTTTGAGATGGATGAAATAATCAAGTGAAAGACATAAAAATCTGCAAAGAACAAGCTGTAGGGGGCTGGGGTTTGTTGGAGGATGATTTGTTGGGGATCCTTTCTTTGTCTGGAGATAAAATAGAAGAGGGTTGTGTTAGTCTAAAGTAAGAGACTAGAATCGTGAAAGGTATGTGCAAAAATAGGTTGGTACATGAATAGAAAGACAAGAAGAACATATGAGGTGTATGTTAGGAAAACAAAAGGCAGCTAAAGGAATACTGAAGAGAGAGAAATGCAGCCCAGGGCGCAAGAGCTGTTTCATTAGAGGAGCAGTTAGATGGACAAAGTGAAGATGATAGGAGGAAAAGCAAAGGTGTGTTCCACAAGGAGCTGACAGGTACGGAGGCAGCCACACAATAACAGGCTGTGTAGTTTTGGGTTTTCTTGTTCATGTAAGCTGTCAAAGAAACAACCTCACTGCCTGTTTGGGTTGTGGAGGGCATTATAGTTGTTCATTAGGAGAGATGCTGAGGCACAGCCCTGGTTTTCCAGTACTTTGTCTGTACTTTGGTGGGACGTTGCCATCAGGAGGGAGATGTCTGTGTGGAGGTCTGGCTAAAAGGGGAGCCATAGTAAGACAACCAAGCAAAGCAACCCCATATTTGCACACTCTGGACAAGGATGAGGAGGTTTTTGTCTCCTGGGAGCCTTCTTTGAAGCAAGGCAAACCTACAGAATTATCTGATGTTGTCTAGGAGACAAAATATTGTCGAACTTAGCTTCTTTTCCTGAATAAAGCAGTTCTGTCCTGGGTAGCCTTCAGCTAGATACCTCACTGGCTTGTTCACAGAGATAGTTCTTTCTTACCACGCATGGGTAAAGCACCAGGCACACTGGAGCCCTAGTATTTTCTGACATCTCCCAACGACAAGTTCCCTTGTCATTGATCATGGTTTCTTGCACAGCAGGTTGTTTCTGCCAGAAGGAAAGGCAGCCCAGCTTAGCGAGAGCACTTGCATGCTAGAGCATCTTCTGCACTTCCCAGCTGTCAAGGCACAGAAAGCAAGAGAGGAAAAACAGGGCAGTGCCCTTGAGCTGTTCATGCTGCATCGTGAGCCCCAGAGACCATGATGGATGGGTTCCTGGAGTAGTGAATCAACGCTGCCCACCTGAGCCCTCCTTCCCCATCACTGAAATACCCAGTGATAGCTTTGTCTTTGCAGAACCACCAGGGAAGAGTGCAGCCTGTGTCTGTTTGACAGCCCAGTGTGCCTGGCTCAAGATATGTGCACACCAGGCATTTTGGCATGAAATTACAGCTCAAGGCAGCAAAGAGTTTTCAGTGCTGGATGTCATTGCAAGAGTTGGCTGCTCCAGAAACCTGAATGTGGGTGGTAAACTCTCCTTCCTGTTCAACACACTGCCCAAATGCTGTAGGCTTTGGCGTGGGCCAGGTTTGCCATCGGTCCATCATGTCTTGACTAAGCTTTAGAAGACTGCACAGGCTGGAGGTCAGAATTGGAGAGCTACAGCAAGCAGCAGTGCAGGATCAGTGGTTTTGTGGGATGCAGGGAAGCAGGCTGGAAACCACACACGTGGGCTATTTGATGAGTTCTTCAGGAAACACTGCCTAGGCTGGGAATACCCAGGCAGGAGCATCAGAGGCCACTTCACATTACAGCCAGGGGCACGAGAAGCTTAATGACAGGTTTTTAAACTTCTTCACATTAGATATTAGGCAGAAGCTCTTCCCTGTGAGGGTGCTGAGGTGCTGGCACAGGGTGCCCAGAGAAGCTGTGGCTGCCCCATCTCCATTCAAGGCCAGGTTGGATGGGGCTTGGAGCAAGCTGCTCCAGTGGAAGGTGTCCCTTCCCATGGCAGGGTTTGGAACTGGATGAGCTTTAAGCTCCTTTCCAATCCAAACCAGGCTGGGATTCTCTGATTCTGATTCCAGTCCTCATGGGAGTGATGCAGTGCTTCACAGCTCAACTGAGGAGCTGTGGGAGATGCGGTTTCGTTGTATCAGCACATTTCAAAATGTCAGTGGCAATTGGAATCAAATGCTGCAGTGCTGGAACAGGCACAGTAGTAGTATAACAATAACAGTTATATTATCATGGAGCTAAGTGCCTCCATTAAGACACTGCCTCGTAGGGCACACCTGCTTGAGAAGTCTGTGTTCCTGCTTGCTGAGAGCCTTTCTTTGAGACATTAATGCTGATGTACTGTGCGTGGCCCTCAGGAAGGTGGGGACGTTGCTCTGGAAGTGCTCAGTATCATTCTGTTTGTTTCCTATCACCATCCAGCCTAATTAATTTGCCTTCCCTCCCCTGACCTTCCCTTCTCTGTCACCACCAGCTCTTCAGGGAGTCTCTCAGTCCCTATGAATATATTCCTGCCCCATAGAGATGGCTCCCCATCTGGGGGAACCAGGAATACTTTACTGGATCAAGTAGCTTGTCCCTTCTGCATTATCCTCCACAATCCCCTGAAATTCACTGGAATAGGATATCTGTGGCCAAAATGCATCACCCCTCCTCCTCTTTGTACCCACATCCAGGAAAGGAGCAGCAAGTCTCCCACAAGTGATGATTTCCTGTCATAGCCCACTCAGCCCGGGGGTGATGAGGGGTAGAAAAGCAAAGCCACCAGCCTCTGTTAGTAAAGCAGGTTGGGGTCATCTCTGCTTGTATTTCTTGGGGTTTGTACTTCTGTTTTAACACTACCAATAACTCCCAGGTGTTCTGGTAAAGCATCAGAGGTAAGGAATGGCACATGATGGTTTCTCACCCAGCAAACCCATGTGTTTGAAAGGATGCCAAGAGGGGGGGAAAACACGTACATTGGTGTGGGTATAATGCTAAGGGGGCAGAGAGCTTTGTAGGGAGCAGACAGGAGAAATGTGCATGAAATGTTAACAGGGTTAAGCTGCAAACCCACATGCATCACCAGCTAGAAAAGGCACATGGGGCCTTGGAGTGAAAGGGGAGCTGGAGCATCCTCCTGCCCCATAATGGAAAGACCGTACTTCAGTGTTAACAAGGGGCTGACTTCTCTGTTATTAGCCAGGCATTTGAAGGGCAGGATGCATCTATCCTGCATCTGTTCTCCAGGTCAGCGACCTGCTGTCACATGCAAATGTACCGAGGAAGAGGTCAGCGAAGGAAAGTACCAAAGGGCTGCAGGAGAAGGGAGGAGGGATCCAGATGGATGTCAAGAGCTGAAAGGAACCTCATGTTTTCCAGGCAGAGAGGTTGGCAGCCTGAGCAATGATTCTTATTTACACCTGAGAGAACTGGTGCCAGACACACAGATGATGGCATGGCTGGGCACAGAGAAGTGAAGTATCGACCGGTGATGGGGATAGCAGAGGCCCATCAATCTAAGTCACCAAGGGAAGGAGAGCCATTGTCTTGCACACGTTCTCGCTCACACACTTATGGAGAGATTTGTAATTGCTTTGCCAGTTTGGCTTCAGTCTTCCACTGAGTCATCATCCATCCACTCGATCATTTCTAAGTAAAGGGCTGTCAATGCATCCCACCAGCTTGAGCGAAGAAGCGCTTTGGTCCCAGATAATCCCTCCAAACCTTTCTGTTCATGCAGAGCTAGGATGAGGCTGTGTTCCCTCTGTAGTCAGTGGAGGAAGAGATGAGTTTCTCCAGGGGGTGACTCATCCTTTCCTAACAAAGGTGCTTAAAATATTGTTGCTGAACTGGCATGCCTGGGTTTCCCTAGACAGCCTGACTGGCCAGCTTAGACGTGGGCTCGCATTACAGCAATTGATATTGCTCTCCCAAGTGATGGCAATAGTTCTCATTCAAGATAATCCCTTTTTCCTGTTCTCTGCTTTTCAGTGTAGCTGCAGGAAAGAGAAATGTTGCTTTGGGGCTACTGCACTGGCAGTCTCCGAAACCAGAGATTCTCTTGGTAGGTGTTCCATTGTTTTCTCTATATCTAGACCCTGCCATAATACAGCATGATGGATGTTCTGTTTTTCCCCACCTTTCTTCTGTTTCCTCCATTTGGATGACATCAATGTAAGGCTTACTCAGTATAACTGCAAAGGTATAGGCTTTTGTCTAACATTTTGGCTGTCACAGCTTTGCTTTGCTAGGATGTGTAGGTTTTATAGATGGTAGCTGTACACTATCCAAGCATGGCAGTGTCTGGTTACCCACACCACCATTACTGCTCCAGGCCTGGTGTCCTTTCGGGCCATAGTCCCCCTGATACAGCATTTTCCCCCTGTTCTAAGCACAAGTGTTATTCCTGTGGGATCAGCATGCACATATCCTGAAGGGAAGTTATCCTCAAGAAGTATCTTTTTGATAGCAAGTTATGGGAGCAGACTGCCCAAAGTGGCCAGGGTGGAGAACTCCCTTGACAGCAGCCAAATCCACAAGCCACCTGATTTCATTGATCTATCGCAATGCTTTTCCCTGCCAGAGACCTTCAAACTCTACCAAAATGGCTAAAACAGACCCAAAGTGCTGCAATCCATGTGATGACTCCATTGCCTCCAGGCACAACCTCCATTGGCTCAGCAAGGCGCTACAATCCAGTGCCTGGGGAGGATGCGGCCAGTGCAGACTTGCTGACCAAGCCCTATAAAAATGAACAGGTCTTGCCAGGGAGACATTAGGGGATAATGAATGAGCACAGCCAATGAAAGGAGGGAGAAGGGGGGTCAGGGGAATAGATTTGCTCAATTGACAGCATATTAAATGTTTGCTCCTGCTTGAAACAGCAAGGTTGGCAAAGCCTAGCATGGGCCAGTGACGTGGGTTAAGTGAGAAGGCCATGGACCCATAAATTGTACATCATCTATATTCAGATGTACAGGCTTGTAGCCTCTCTGGTCCAGCGAGCCCAGTAATGAAAGACTTTAGAGCAGCCCAAGACTTAAAGTCAAATGCCCCTGGTTGTTCTAGCTCTGATAAGATTTTAGATGAGGGTTTATTTTGTTCCTGGCATTTTCAGTGTGTACCTCTCCTTCTCAGCCATGGTGCAAGCTTTCTGCAGAAGTGAGGGATGTTCAGGAGAGACTTTTATCCCGTGCGTAAAACCAGGATAACTGAACTACATTGCCAACCCAAGTCCTCCCCACTGCTCACAGCCCTGCATCCCTTCCCCTTCCTGCCTCCAATAGAGGGCTCCTTGTGTCGTGAAGCACAGCTTGTGCTGGTGATGGTCCTGACCATGTCGAAGGCTGTTCGGCTTCCTCCTCCCATTCCCGTACCGGTGCTGCTGTCGGATGTTTTTCTGTGTTCTCCATGCTGCAGAGGCCTGGTACTGATGCTGCGTCCTCACTCCTGAAAGCTGATTCCCCCAGGGATGAAAAATGCAGTAATTAACCCCCCCCAGATGTTAAAATGTCCTTGCTTTCCAAGCAGATCCTTTCTTGACTCCTGGAGGATGCAAATTGTGGTTATTTCCACTGGCCACATCTCTCCAAGACATCTGCCTTCACCCAGTGACTGTACGTTGAGCAGACATCCACATCCACATTAAAAACCCTCTGGGAATTTAATGTTCAGGGCCTGGAGGACTACCTCCTTGCAGCTCTTCCTGGCAGTGGCTGTCCTCTGATATTTGCTATTGACATCAATGATGATAATTAATGAAGCACTGCACTGGCTGTTGGTGTGTGTTGTGTCAGCAGTTTCACTCTGAAGTCTGCTGATGGGATTGGTGGTAGCACATAGGAGTTATTT